GTGACAAAGTGAGACTCTGTCTCAAAAAAAAAAAATTATGCATTAGGCCAGGCATGGTGGCTGACACCTGTAATCCTAGCACTTTGGGGCACTGAGGTGGGTGGATCACAAAGTCAAGAGACAGTCTAGTGACAGAGTGAGACTCCATCTCAAAAAAAAAAATATATATATATATACTTTAAATGATAAATGTTTCATGCACTTTTCTATATGCATGCTTTATTACAATTTCTTTTAAAGAAAATTTGTATCTGGCACCATGTTTGGCAAAAATAAGATATAAAAATGCCCAAGAATGGGCCAGGCACAGTGGCTCACACCTATAATCCCAGGACTTTGGGAGGTCGAGGTGGGTGGATCATGTGGTCGAGAGATCGAAATCACCCTGGCCAACATGGTGAAACCCCAACTTTACTAAAAAATACAAAAAATTAGCTGGGCGTGGTGGCAAGTGTCTACAGTCCCAGATGCTGGGGAGGTGGAGGCAGTAGAATCACTTGAACCCAGGAGGTGGAGGTTGCAGTGAGCCAAGATCACACTACTGCACTCCAGCCTGGTGACAGAGCGAGACTCCATCTCAAGACAAACAAACAAAAGTCCAAGAATGGAAGGCACTGAGAGCTTAAAGACCCGCAGGATTCTGTACTCTGAGGAAGGCACATAGGCTGGGCTTTAGAAAGAAGGTGGCCTGGAGAGAAGCAGGTGTCAAAGGACAAGGGAAACGGAGGAAGACTGGAGGATCCCTTTCATGCACTGTTTTCTCCCTGTGCCCAGGGGGTCCCCCAGTAGAAATACACTTAGCATTCGTCAGGGCGTTGTTACATTATGGATCTCTGCCCTTCTGTATCGTGGAAACAACAGACATAAGATCATTTGCATTTCACTTAAACACCAGTGAAACTCGTCTTGACATTTCAAGTGATTTAACCATATTAGACACAGTCATGTTAATGGGGTTCCAGTTCCAGGCCCCCCCCCCCCCCCCGCAAAGTGCTCAGCTTCCCTGGTTACTGGCTACCTCCACCAAGATTAACTTGAGTACATATAAAGGAAAACACCACCTCACAGAGCAAAATATGAGGGACCCAGGGAGTGAGCTTACGTGCAAGGGCTGGTACTTTGGCTTAAGGCAGGACACTGCTTTTTTTGGCATAAGGCAGGGAACTGAGACAGTAAAATGAGAAAGGAGCTGTTGACAGCCCTAAACGGAGTCATTTTCTAGAGTGAAGAATGGTTGTTTTTGCTGCTTGGGTGCTCCGTCCCAGGGTTCGCTCAAACCTGTCCTTCCTGAACCCCGTGGAGCTGGCAAGGAGGGCATCAGCTGTTCTGGCTCAAGCCTGCTGGGTAGCCAATATTAGGAAAAATGAACTCACAGGCCAATATACCACAACACTTGAGTAAAGAGATTTTAAAAGAAAAGTAACGTACTAAATTACAGATTCTAACAGAAGTAGAAATAGTAAAACAAAGCTAGAAAGATGATACCAACAATTGGAAAAGAAAACCAGAAATATGTGAAGTCAAAAATATATCTCTTGAAATAAAGGGCTCAATGGACGGGACACAGAGCAGAACGGATACAATGTAGGAGTTCATGAGTAAATTGGAAGAGCAGATTAAAGAAATCTCCTGGAGGGACAAGTAAAAGAAAATGAAATATAAAACATCAAAGAAAGATCGGTGGGGTGAGGGTAAACAGAAACCTTAGAAAGTTTGGTCTTGCAAAAAGGCTAGAAAATGTAACCCCAAGTGCAGGAATCAACAGGAATTTGGAATGGGGTGGGGTGGGGTGATGGGGAGTTACACTTTTAGCTTATTAGGGGAAATACGGCCGTACATTCTAAACAATGTTAAGAAAGAAATTAAAAGTGGGTCAAACTTTATAAGATAGTAAGAATAAGGCTCAAACATATCAATAATTGAATATAAACGGGCTGAGTGCAAAGGGAAAGGCTGACAAAAACCATTAGAGAAAACCCAAATCCAAAATCAGTAATAACTTTAAACATGTGTCCACAGTGTTAGCCTCAAATACACATGAAGTGAACATTTATAAACCCGCAGGAAGAAATTCGAAAACTCATCTTCATGGAGGGCGGTTTCAAAACTTTTCTAAATTCTCAAAAAATCCAACTAAAACCAAATTACCTGTAGTAAAAAAATTTCTTATATATTGTACCGCTATCAATATATAAGAAAGAAAGGATCAGAGGCACCAACTAAATGACATCACAGGAATGTAACAGCACGGCCCCTCATGTGGGAAACTATGGGATCCAAAATCTTCAACTGACCACAGAAATCTAAAAAGGAGAAACCGGTTATTGAAGACACTTGAGACATGCGAATCAAATGCAATGTATGTAGTAGGCTTGGTTTTTACAACCAAAAAAAAAGCCATTGGGTGAGATCTAAAAATGATTGGGTATTTGATGCTCAAAATGGCTTAGCCTTTTATTATGATACTAGAATGTGGTTATATACTTTTTTTTTTTGACAGAGTTTTGTTCTTGTTGCCCAGGCTAGAGTGCAATGGCACAATCTCGGCTCACTGCAACCTCCGCCTTGGGGTTCAAGCAATTCTCCTGCCTCAGCCTCCCAACAGTAGGAACTCCCTACAGTTCCCTGTAGCTGGAACTACAGGCACGCATCACCACGCCCAGCTAATATTTTGTATTTTTAGTAGAAGCAGAGTTTCACCATGTTGGCCAGGCTGGTCTCGAACTCCTGACCACAAGTGATCCGTACCACCTCGGCCTCCCAAAGTGCTGGGATTACAGGCGTGAGCCACCATGTCCAGCCTGTTATCTAATAATCTTAGACTTACAGAAAAAACTGTGAGGATACATCACACCTAACTTCCCCTTTCATTAGTATATTAGTATGGTACATTTAATACAATTAGTGAACCAATATTAACACATATTAACTAAACATTTTAGATTTTCTTGGTTTTTACCTAATGTCCTTTTTCTGTTCCAGGACACCACGTTGCATTTAGTCATCACATCTCCTTAGGCCCCTCTAAGCATGAGTTTCGCATGCTTCTCTTCTTTTTGGTGACCTTGACAGAGGGAAGGTATTTTGTAGAAAGTCCTTCAGCTAGGTTATATCTGATATTTTTCTCGTGATTAGGCTGAGAGTACAGGGTTTTGGAAAGAAGACCAAAAAGGTAAAATGCCATTCTCCCATTCTCAGGTACTTCCGATCACCAGGACATTATTGATGTTGACCTTGATCAACTGGCTGAGAAAGTTTGTCAGGTTTCACCACTGTAGCTACTGTTTTACTCCCATTTCCATACTATACTCTTTGAAAGCAAGTCACTGTGTACAGGCCACACTTAAGAGCTGAGAGTTATGCCCATCTTAAAAGTAGAGTATTGATGTAAATTATTAGAATTCTGCATGGGAGTTGTATATTCTCCATTTATTTATTCTTCATTTATGTGAAGAACACTACAAACACGAGCCACCATGCCCAACTAATTAAAAAATTTCTTTTTAGCCGGGCGTGGTGGCTCACGTCTGTAATCCTAGCATTTTGGGAGGCTGAGGTGGGTGGATCACCTGAGGTCAGGAGTTCAAAACCAGCCTGGCTATCACGGTGAAACTCCATCTTAAAAAAAAAAAAAAAAAAAAAAAATTCTTTTTAGAGATGAGGATGTTCCTACATTGCCCAGGCTGGTCTTGAACTCCTGGCCTCAAGCGAGCCTCCCAAAGTGCTGGGATTACAGACAGGAGACACAGTGCCCAGTCTATTCCCATTATCATACCCTTAATGTTAACCTTTGGTCAAGTCAAAGAACCATCAAAAAGACAATGCACACTTAGTTTATAAAATCTGTATTTGCTATTTACTGCTACGTAACAAATTACTGCAGAACTCTGTGGCTTACAACAGTATGCATCTCTCTGTACCAATGCGTCAGGGATTCAAGAGCTCTTTTTGGACAGTTCTGGCTCAGATCATGTGTTGCCTGGGACTGGAGCTGAAGTATCCACCTCTGAGGTGGCTCACTCATGTGGCTGGCAGCTAGTGTAAGCAAGATGGCTCCTCTCCTTGCAGGGGGCTGCTTAAATCTTACAACACGGTCTTGGCTTATCCCAGAGGATAATCCAAGATACTGAGGCTGAAGTTGCAATGCATTAGGGACCTCAAAAGCCATGATTTTTTCGGCAGTATTTTATTGGTCACACAAGTCAGCCTTGTTTCAATGTGGGCAGGTACTATGCAGGGGCTGGATGATGACCTGATGTAGAAATAACTTAGAAAGATGACTATTAAGAAAAAACTTCAGAATTTTTTATTTCTGAAGGGGGTAGGTTAAAGACTTGGGAACAGGGAAGGACTCATCTGTCAAGGTGAACGATGGCAAAGGGTTTCCGTTGACCACAGGTGGAGTGCACGTGAATGGTCAGGAGCACACAGGCAGCACATACAGATGCACAGTTCTGTCCTGCCTGACGAAGGAAGGCACTGCCCTCCCACTGTGCCCACTGCAGTGATGAGTCTGTGCCTGGAATATTGGGTACAATTTCTGAGCACCAAACATTGATGACATTTTTATGCAGCTCCAGAGGGTGAATCTAGGGCTGCTGACATTCTGGGAAACATTTCACTTAGCACTGAGAAAAACTATGCATCCGATTATCCACAGAGGGGGCCAACAAAACCTACTAATCTCCTCTAAGGTTCCAGCTCACAGATGCCAATCTGCTGTGTGTTTGAAAAGTAGACAACCAAGCTTCTCAGGAGTGTGATTAAAAACAAACGGCATGAGAAGGCTTCCCTAGGAGGAAGCGTGGAGCTTTAAGGCACCTGTGCCAGGTTCTCTGGCTGCTCAGTTCCTCTGGTTCCCGTCAAAGTTTGTGTTTCACACAGGCAGTGCTGTGGGATGGGCTGAGCTCAGGCACGCAGGGGTGCTCTGGAATTCCTCAACTATGTATAATGTGTTAGTTGACTGTATCTTTAACATAAAACACAACTACCAACATCGATGGATCGATCCAGTGATTAAGATGTACTGTTTTATTTTTTTTTAAAGTTAGTCTCAAAGTTTCACCTACATATAAGCAAACCATAAAACAAGGTGTGATAAAAATCAGTGGTGGAAGAGCCGAAGGTTCGTGTGAGCGAGGATGATTCCCAGTTCGTCGCAGGCCTCAATCACAACTTTGTCAGCAGCAGAGCCGGACGGAGCCGCGATGTACAGCACACCACTCTGGGGAAGTACATTGGTTTTCAAAACGCGGTCTCATGTAACAATCTGCAGAACTCAGAATCCCCCTCTAAAAAGCATACGCTAACAAAGATCCACTCCGTCAAAAAGGCAAAATAACAACAGGATTTGGGTTTTCCATACATAGCATGGAGAAGTAAAATGATTCTCTGAATATTACTGGTATCACACTGCCACACCTTTTAAAAATCAAGGGCAGGATTTCTGAAACAGTTGCTACATAATGGCTCAACTCTAGGCACATGTACCCAATTCTATACTTACCCTTTTAGCTCTGTCTACATTATCTCTGAAAGGGAAGAAGGCATCAGAGCTGACAGAAACTTCACTCAGTTTGTCAACCCATTCCTTCTTCTCTGCCTCAGTGAGTAATTCTGGCACTTCCTCAAACAGGGCCTTCCACTTTATCAAGTCTTCATCCTATTCAGGGAGAGAGAAAGGAAGGAGCTTAGCCTGACATCATCTTTAGTTCTACCTGGTACAAACCACCACACCAGAAAGCACCAGGGCATTTTTCCTAGGACTTCTTCATTGTAAATAATGACCATTAGTTACATGGAGGTTCACATATCTAGAATCTCAACTGATGCTTTTAGAAACATTTTCATTAAGGAAAAAAAGCGATGCTAAGTTTACCAAATAAAGATAATACCATTTTGCTTTCTAAATCAGTTTATTATAAATAAATATATTTATTTTTGGCTAAGCTACTTACATAAAAATACATTGTTTTAAAATCTCTAATTTAAATCTACTTCGTATCTACTACTTTACGTCTATTTGACTATCATCTAATTTAAATCCACCACTTTGGCACTGTTGTAGCAAAGGAGGCAAACAGAAAATTGTATTCCGGGCAGGCGCGGTGGCTCACGCCTGGAATCCCAGTACTTTGGAGGCCAAGGCAGGCAGATCACAAGGTCAAGAGATCAAAACTGCCCTGGCCAACATGGTGAAACTCCGCCTCTACTAAAAATACAAAAAATTATCTGGGCGTGGTGATGCGCACCTGTAGTCCCAGCTACTTGGGAGGCTGAGGCAGGGGAATTGCTTGAACCCCGAGGCAGAGGTTGCAGTGAGCCGAGATCGTACCACTGCACTGCAGCCTGGAGACAGAGCAAGACTCTCAGAAATAAAAAAAGAAAGAAAGAAAGAAAATTGTATCCCAAGTTTGTTTTTTTTTTTTTTTAAAAACCCTCCATATCCAATCTAAGAAAGAGATGAGGATGAATGTTCTAGAACTACGTTTATACAAAAATTATTCTACATATAAAATCAGTTGTAGACAAAACACGATTCATAATATTTGTTATGGTTTGAATGTATGTATCCCCTCCAAAATTTATGTTGAAACTGAATCCCCAATACAACCGTATTAAAAAGCAGGGTCTTTCTAAGGTTATTAGGTGATGAGGGTGGGGCCCTCCTGAATGGATCATGGACTTATAAAAGGGCTTCAAGGGGAGTCTGCCGCTTCTGTGAAGTGAGGACATAGTGTTTGTCCTCTCCAGAGAGGGGGCTGTGCCATCTTGGAAGCAGAGGGTAGTCCTCCCCAGGCTTTCAACCTGCCAGTACCTTAATCTGGGACTTTATAGCCTCCAGAACTATGAGAAATAAGTGTCTATGGTTTGTAAGTTACCCAGACTGCAGTATTCTGTCATAGCGGCACAAACAGACTAAGACAGCCATACTATCTATACAAGGTGCTTCCACCTTGGGTGATGTTTTAGCTTGGACATACTTTTTATTCTTGTTGACTTCCAGGACTCTTTCGGCACTAGTAGCAGGGGTTGACTGGTAATATCAAACAGAAAAATTCAAGTATCAAAGTTAAAAAAAAAAAAAATATTTAAAGTACTTCAGTTACATTCTGCAGCCTCACTCTTCAACGACACTTATGTTGATTCCTGCTCCTTGGTAAAAACTGAGGGTACTCAATTGGCTTTCAGAAGACCATCTACTTTTTTTGGAGGACGGAGGTTTGCTCTATCACCAGGCTGGAGTACAGTGGCGCGTTTTCGGCTCACTGCAACCTCTGACTCCCTGCAAGCAATTCTCCTGCCTCAGCCTCCCCAGTAGCCGGGATTACAGGTGCACAACACCACACCCAGCTAGCTGATTTTTGTAGTTTTAGTAGAGATGGGGTTTCACCATGTTGACAAGGATGGTCTTGATCTCCTGACCTCATGATTTGCCCGCCTTGGCCTCTCAAAGTGCTGGGGTTACAGGCATGAGCCACCGCGCTTGGCCAAGACCACCTACTTTTTGATTAGCAAGCTTCATTTTCCTTCCAGTATTTTGTTAGGCACTCAATGTGTCCAGAAACTGGGCTAGATCTTCTCTTTTGGCAGGCTACCCATCTAATGTTTGCAACTGTAATGTTCCCACATACCTTCTTCAAACAGAAGAACGTGAAATGTATAGAATATATCAAGTTATTAATGGCATACGTAGAGAATGTGGTGGGGGAAGATCCTGGGGCTATCTGGCGCCAGGCAATTTGTATTTTTAATTTTTTTTTTTGAGATGGAGCCTTGCCTTGTTGCCCAGACTGGGGAGCAATGGTGTGATCTCGGCTCACTGCAACCTCCAACCCGGGTTCAAGTGATTCTCCTGCCTCAGCCTCCTGAGTGGCTGGGATAACAGGTGCCTGCCACCACGCCCAATTTATTTTTTGTATTTTTTTTAGTTGACAGGGTTTCACCATGTTGGCCAGGCTGGTCTTGAACTTCTGACCTCATGATCTGCCCACCTCAGACTCCCAAAGTGCTGGGATTTACAGGTGTGAGCCACCACGCCTGGCACAATTTGTGGTTAATGTTCAGTATAAACCCATTGGACAGCAAGCACCATGCTGAACACAGTGGCAGACACCTCAACGTAAGTGAAAAGCGGTGCTTGCCAAGAAAAACTTGGAAGTACAAATATACAAACCTACACCAAGGCTGTGACTTAAAAAGACAGAGGTCTGTGGTTTCAGAAAGGGGAAAAACAATGAAAAAGTTACATGAGGCAGAAGAAAATGAGAAATGTATAACAATCTTCAATGATCAATTTTAGACAATGTGGAATTTCAGAAAATATCTTTCTCTCTGTGTGGTGATGAAATTAAAATCAGTTACACATAAAGGGGTGAACTGAACATGAACACAGCCCAGAACCCAATGACAAGTCTTTTACCTCGCCAATGGTTCCAGTCACGTATTGATCGATGGCATTGGAGATTTCTGCTCTCTTCACTCCCGTTTTAAACTTCATCGAGAGCACTTGTGGATGGTGTCTAAGCCACCAGTAGTTTGCCTTATCTCCTGCAAGGCGGGTGCAGTGTATACGAGACTGCTGTCCGGCTCCAATACCGATAACCTGAGGAACACAGACATGAAAGTGAACACCTCTTCCAACAACTCTTCTCAAAAGGATCTTTTGTGCACATTTTCCAAAACCCATTAATCTTGTGGAAGAACATATCAGGCCAAAATAAGAGAAATATAAATAATTTTTAAGTCAATAAAGGAGGGGGGGTAAGACGTTTATAACTACTATTTATACCTCTTCAGTGATATTTGACATATGACTATTAACATTCTAGAACTCAATCAAATTGATGGTTTGAGGCCCCCCCCTCAAAAAAAAAAGAGTTAAAATAAATGACCAATGCTGGGCGCACTGGCATGTGCCTGTAATCCCAGCACTTTGGGAGGCCAGGACAGAAGGATCGCTCAAGCCCAGGAGACCAGCCTGGGCAAGATGCCAACATCCCAACACAAAAAAAAAAAAAAAATAGCCGGGGGTGGTGGTGCACACCTGTAGTCCCAGTGACTCAGGAGGCTGAAGTGGGAGGATCGCTTAGCCCAGGAGTCCAAGGCTACAGTAAGCTGTGAGTGTGTCACTGTCTTCTGGCCTGGACAACAGAGCAAGACCCTCTGTACAAAAAATATCAATAAATAAAACCAATGACCACAAAAAAAACTATGACTATTCAAAAGTCTTTGTTGGCTCCAGTGTATAAATTACATTAAAATATCAACTCTCAGAAATCGGGATAAGGATCTGACATGAGCAGCTAAAAGTAGAAACAATTCCACCAGGTAAAATGTTCTTCCTTCCTTCCTCTGTTTCTGTGCTTTGAATTCTAAGCACCAAGGACTTTAATGCACAGGTGTATTTTCTGGTTTTAGTTCCTATAATGAACAGTCCCTCAGCTATCTGCCCAAGTCTGTCTCTTTCTGAGCACAGCTGCTGGCAACCCTGCCCACAGCTACAAGAGAATAAAAGAGACCACAAACACCTGTAGAGCCTGCTCCTCCTGGACATCAGGAATGAAGCACTCATTCTACAGAGACTTGCAGAACTTCTTAGAACCTGACACCAGTAGACACAATCTCCCAGGAGTTTGTACTATAGAGACTGGCAATCTGGGGTCTTCCAGGCCATAGGCAAATTCACATCCCCCCACCTCCCCATCACTTGTGGGCCAAATAACTTAACAAATGCCAACAGGTAAGCTCAGGACACTGTGTGAAGAAAAGGCTAGCAGAGACCTCAGAGATGAACCAGCTCAATCTTGTATTTTGAGGCTCGGGACACTGGGGAAGAAGTTCAGCATCTTGCTTAACATCACACAGTGAGAAATGTTTGGTATTTTATTGCGGCAGTGGTCACATACTGTGAAATTTGTGAAAACTGGTCAAAGTGTACATTTAAATGGTGAATTCTACTGTGTATAAATTATGCTTCAATAAACCTGATTTTAAAGATCAGGTTAACTCCCAAGTCCAGCAGTCTTTCTTGGTCAGCAGATTCTTGATAAGACAACATAAGAAATAATGTGAAAATACCCTATACTCTGCAAAAATAAAGGCTGGCGGGTGGCAGTGCCATTCCTTACCTCTCTTCCCTGGAAATACTACCACTGGGGGAAAAGGGGAGTAAATAATCCAGTTTTGTAGCAGCTAGTAGAGTCTCACTAATCCAAAATGTGCCAGCCCACTAGAGGCAAGAAGAAACACGACTAATTTGAGTACCTGGTTCCAAAGATATTTTCTGATCATTATTAGTTTTAACAGTGCACCAAGGTACTGAGGAAATGATGACAAACCCAAAAGAGATACACTTGGCAAAGACTTCCTTTCAAGCTGTCCAATACCTAAGGCAGATGGCTGTTTAAATATTTCGTATAACAACAGTCCCCCAAAGGCGAGTCCAACAAGCCAGTTACCTGCCCGTTCTTGGCGTAGCACACGGAGTTGGACTGAGTGTACTTGACAGCAATAGTGGCCACGATCAGGTCTCGGAGGGCGGACTCTGGCAGCTGAAACACACACACGACGGTAAATCGCGTGGGGCCTTTTAAACTCATATAACTTTAAGCTACTTTTTTTAAATATTATTTTTTGTCCTTTTTTTTTTT